TTTTGCAGGTGTGGCCATCCCAACAAAACAACATTTTTATAGCATCCACAGATACATCCAAGAATAACAGAAAACCAAACATTTTTTTCAGAGATGTTTAGAAAACACATCTGTATGGAGTATAGCTGTAGTTGTTTTTGATCCTCAGAGCTTTAATCTTCTTTTCTGATTTAGGATTTGGGATAAATGTGAAGTAGAATTTGCAGACCATCTCGTTTTGTCTGCCTGTTAAATTTAAACACACAATTTGTTTTACCAATTATCAAATGCAGAGTTTTTGAGAAACTGTATAGACTTGGTTTAGTGTCACAAAAAAATAAATAAAAAATGTACATCCTTAAAATGTTGTTTCAGATTCTTTGATCTTTTCGCTGCAGGGACTAATGGCACAGTGGTGTCAAAAACTCTTTCACAGCTGGATACCATATTTCGTCAACATTCTGCAAATTAACGGTGGTAGTGCGCACACAGACTTGAACACTTGACAGGAAGCTTACTGGGCCGTGACATCAATGCTGACTGGCAGGTTGGGAGGAGATTAAAATCAAACACTTCTCAATGGCAGCCAGCTGACAGGAAGTAGTCAGAACTGTTCACGGTGTTAAGAGGAGCAGCATGTGTAGACGCTCATATGCATTGGAGCTACACAACTGTGTGCACAGACACAACACGGACATCTACTCTGGAGCATTAATGTCACATGACTCCAGGAGTGGAGCTGAAGTGGCTCTCAGATTACAGGATTACCATACAGAAACACAGTGTGAGCGAAGAGAACAGGATCACTGCACAGGAACACACAGAGAGCATTTCTGTGACTAGCAGATACATTTTTGCCTTCATGGCTGAAGGTTACCAACATTTTCTTTTTTTTTTTTTAAACGCTGAAGCTGTAACATTTGACTGCAACTAAATTAGTCTGAGATCAGCCTGTAATGAAAAGCTACAATGTAATTCATTTGGTGTGATAGTTTTTTTTTCCTGTTACAATTATGATCTACTCAGGCTTGTGCTATTTTAGAACAGAAGAAACACTTTCAGTTCCAGCAATATAGCAGGGTATGACTCAATATAAATGGCATTCAGAGTGAAATATGATTTTGTGCTCTGCTGCCAATAAACAAACAATAGTGTCTGCTGTGACCAAAATAGTAACATCTATTAAGCAAGTTACATAAAAGTAATCCAATTTTTAACCTCATCTGTCCTGCATGTGATCCTCAGACACTTCCTCTGCAGATCATGATCAGAGATGGGCTGAAATCAGTTTCATTCTGTTCTGTTGTCAACAGTAAATGAGTAATTTGGTCAAATGTTACCATCAAAGAGCAGCTACAGCACAAACACAAGATACGAGCTGACTAACTCCCTGGGTTCAGTGTTCATAAGATGACTGAATGCTGGAAAAACAGGCTGTGCTATGATGTGAACTGTTGACATGCTTTGTTTAAAAGGCAGCAGCTTTATTATGTGAACAAAAGACTGTGGAAACCTTGTGTTGACAGGCAGATGTTTGTCAGTGACGTTTTGTTGCCTCGGAAAGACTGATCAGCAGGAAGCACTTCAACTTGTGACACTCGTTTTGAAATTTACACTTTAATTAAAAAGAGGAGACAGTTTTCAAGCAGTGGGGTAATTATTTTCCTGAGTGCTTTTAACAAATAGTGTGTGTTCAAAATAAATTTCAGTAATGAGTTTGTTGTCATTTTACATTTTTGCTAGTGAACGGGAAAAATGCACAAAACAGGAAAATGTATATTTAGGCTAAGGGAGGGAGCGCCTAAAATGTAGGGAGGACAGAGATTAAAAAGTAGGTTAAAAGGCTGTTGGTCTTTTCAAAAGCAAGGTTGTCAAACTCGTTCTGCAGAGAGATTCTCCAACCCCCCACTCATGTTAGCATTCTTCCACAGGTCAGACCTTCAAGTGGAGGTTAGACTTGGGGCAAAAAAAAAAAGGATAAACTTTTGAAAGGAGGGTTTCAGGTTCATCTAGTCACTATTTTCAGGTGGGGGAAAAAATCAAAAAAGAAAAGTGATATTATAAAGATAATTCATTGAGATGATAAAGTTGTACTTGACTGTTATCACAGGAAAAAAGCAGTACCATCATTTAGTTAACATTGAGGCATGTCTGTGCTGCTGTCATCAACGATAACCACCATCACAGCAAGAGAGCTGCAACCGACAGAGAAGAAACCTGAGCATTAAAAGGGATCCACGATTAGTTGTAACATTAGACTTTATTTGATAAACATGTATTTTAACTGTAAAATAAAGACAGTAAAAATACTGTAGGCTGTTTAGTTTTGTAAATTTTAAAATATATATTTTAACACTGACGCAGCCATTTTATGTATACATAAAGCATTCTGGGTAAATGATGACGTGGATAGGTCCTCGGTGTGAGCGAGCTATATCCACCCTGAAGGTTAATCTTGGACAATATCTGATGATCGACTCTTTTAAAGGGGCAATACCATGTAAAATCAACTTTTTTTGAGTTTTATATCATGTTATAATATTATATTCTCATAAAAAACATGCCCAAAGCCTTGCTTTGACTCATTCATACATTTTTGAGAAATCCTGCAGCGTTTTTAGGAAGCCACGCTGAGGAGCAAAACAACAGGTGGGGACCAGAAACGCCTTTTGGTACCAAAAACACCTCTGCAATGAGTCTTTAAGCCAAACTTCCTCATGGAAGAGCGCACCCTCCCCACACACCCCGCCCATGACTCCTGCAGGCTCTCAAACAACGGGTGAAACTGAAAGTGAAACTTAAACTGTCTGCTGTGCTCCTAACATTACTTCTCACTCAGTGAAGCACATTCAGATTCAAAATACCTTTGAGGAAATGTATTTTCAGATGCCAAGTTAACTGCATCACAGCACCACCACTACCCCCCACCCACACACACACACACACACATGCAAATCCCCCACGTTGAAGTGGGTGGGACAGAAGCAGAAGGTGGTTCTTAAAGAGACAGAGGCCAATTTCAAGGTGTTTGGAAGAGGAGGTGATGAGAAGATAAGTTTATTTTCTATTTAAACATAAAAACAGCATTTTAATTACAACTAAAGGTGGCATAGATACTTTATTATGGTATAGTATTTAAATGTATGCCTGAGAAACACATAATATTGCCCCTTTAAATGAAACCAGAGAGCGTTGACAGAGAGGAGAAAGTAGAAACGACTCAGTCTACAACTGAAAATATAGATGGAGGACAACAGAGCTGCTTCATAGAAGAAGAACCTCAGCTTAGCCTGTTAGCCTTTGTGCTAGTGCCGACACTATATTGCCTTATATGTATTAACTCAGCGCTAACGAGACAAACTAATAAGCCTGAGGTCCTCCATCCATATTTTCAGTTACAGGCTGAGTCATTTCTACCTTCTCCTCTCTCTCAACGCTCTCTGGTTTCATTTAAAAGAGCCGATCATCAGATATTGTCCAAGATTAAACTTCAGGGTGGATATAGCTCGCTAGCAGCCTCACACCGAGGACCTATCCACGTCATCATTTACCCAGAATGCTTTGTGTGTAAATAAAATGGCTCCGTTCATGTAATATATATTTTTTTACTTTTAGTTTAAAAATCATAAAAACTAAACAGCCTACAGTATTTTTACAGTCTTTATTTTACAGTTAAAATATGTTCATCAAATAAAGTCTAATGTTACAACTAATCATGGATTCCTTTAAGGGTCTCACACGTGACTTGGACTTTGAATGACTGAAACCAGTATGAAAACACCAACAGCTATCATCACAACACTCTGCTATGAGAACACTAAACAACACAGCACTGAAAAATCTGTGTCTCATCAATTAAATATGCTTTCTAATACACTGTCAATAAAGAGGCTTGGAGTGTAATGCAGTCTGAGACACCCCCGAGTGGCAGCTTGTACTTTAAAAAACCCTGCCTCTTCCTCAGTTGCTATGGCAACCAGAGCAGTGGGTGGAAGCTGGGTGGATGGGTGATTTAATGTAAGCCCCCCCTTCAAATGCACATTACCCTCCTTCTTAATCTGTCCCGCAACGTTAAAAGAAAGGAAAACAGGATTGCCCCTCTAATTCAGCAGACAAAAAATAAATACAAAAACCATTAGGGATTACAGGGTAAAAATCCAGCTTGGCATCACTTTGAGGCACAGTGAGATCCAATAGAATTACAAAGACTAGCTGTCAGTCTGTTGTGAAACATGCGGCGTGGAGAGAGTACTCTCCAGAGTGCAGCTTCTGCAACGAGAGCGGAACCTGAGCAGGATGGGCAGGAGCAGGAAACGAGCGGACCCTTCTCTGCTCAAGGTGACTTTCTCTCCCTCATTGACATAATTATTTGCACTCCACCCCCATCGTTGGGGGAAAAAAAAGTATGCCATCCCCTCTCTCACACTCAACACTGATAATGGGCTACGTTCGCCAAACCAGAGAGAGATGAAGGTGGGAGGTAGCAGCCTGTAGCATGTGTGTGAGAGCACATATTTCTACCACCACCTCACCCCCATCACCACAGCAGCCTTGTCATTACGGGGCATTCCCTGCACACGGAGGACAACTCTCCCACCAAGAAATCAGCCCCAGGGTATGATCGGAGCGTTGTGTCATCCTCCCCCACCGACAGGTCACTGCAGCAGCACGGCTCCCTGCACCAGCACCTCCTAATTAGACAGACGTGACACAATCACCTACGTATTCGTAAGAGGAATCTGGCTCGAGTGATAAATCAAACCGGCAGCCACAACTCCTCTCAGACACACTCACAGACTGATAGCCTCTAACTATCTACTGGTCACATGCAGTCTACACACACACACACACACACACACACACACACACACACACACACACACATACACACACACACGAGCACAAGCACATGCACACACACATTCCAGTCAGCAGATAGCCGGCTTCAGCTCCTGCGCTCCGTTTCCTTGCAGTCATTTGATTATAGGGTATAATAGACAGATTTATAGAGCTCGTCTTACCCTGTCCTGGAGAGAGCTTGCTTCTCTTGTGTTCTGGGCATTCCCTTTATAACCTCAGCTCACTGCAGCGTCCAGCATTCTGCACGGTCGACAGGAAAACTTGTACACGGCACGCAGCGGCTCACTTCCTGTGCAAGGTGTGTTTATCCACGCGGGTTCAAAGTCATCTGGCTCGGTGGGGCTAATAAGCACCTTTGTGAGAGGCTGTCAAAAATCAGCCGAGAAGAAATTTCAAACTACATGCAGGGTGGTTTCCTCTGACGGCTGGGGAGTGGGGAGGGTGGGGGGCAAATAAGAGATAAATCTGCCATACGGACTGCAACTGTTTGTTTTGCAAAACAGCCAGCTGGCCAGCGAGAACTTCTGCGGAAAATCTTCTGTCCTTCTACCTCTCCCTTTCTCTGCAGAGTGCTGTGGGGGCAAAGGGGACCGGCACAGATGTTACTGGCTTCAAACCACACCCCTTTTCAACACTCCCAGTCCTAATAGGATGCAGCCGAAACAGTGGCCGACGCCCAGTTTGCCCCCGCCCCACCCCCCAAGACAGACTTTGGGCAGCTCGGTGAAGATTTGCTTAGTCTCTTTGGAAAACTGGGAGGAAGAAAAGATGCAAAACGTGTGGTGAAAACACAAGTATGAGGAGCAAGGACTACTGAAGAATTTAAATAATGTCAAAACCATGAAAAAAGAAAGTTATTATGTTTGGAATATTAATCAGCCCAGAATTCACCAATGCAAAACTATATATAACTAGAGGATTTTGATCTGAAACACTGACACTCCCACATGATTTACAGCATCAGTGTGTCGCAGCATACAGCCGACTAACTAAATCCAGCATCCATAAACATTTCAACAATGCAACATCCCGACACATTTTTATACAAAACAATGTCATAAAATTATGTAAGAATTGCAATTTCCTCTCAACAAATTGGTTCCTTTTTTTTTTTTACAGAATCTCAAAATGTATGTTTTCACATCAACACTTCATTAAAGGAAACTTTAAATGAAATAAATTGGGAAATATTTTAATTTGAATTAGGAAAAAACAGAGTATATGTCAATATGAGTGAAGCTATTTTCTTTATTTGTTGTGGGGAAAAAAATCAGACATGATCTCAGAACAGATGTCAACCTGATTCAGAGTCTAAAAGGTGTTCAAGCAGATGTTGGGCAGAACGAGTGTCATCTGTCAGCCATTCACTTATTTTTCATCAGATGTGAGTCAAGCATTGCTTCTCAGTGCATCATAGTAACACTTCTGTCTTAGAAAATTAGTGATACACAATAAAAGTACTACATGCTACAAACATTTGGAGAGCTTTAATGTATGTAT